AACCTGAACTTTAAGTTTAGGTTCAGGTTCAAAGATCTGCAAAATTTATGGTTCAGGTTCAGGTTCAGTTCAGGTTCATTAAACCTGAACTTGAACTGAACTGAACCTAGGAACCCTACACAGGTATCTCAGAATCCATTTACTGTATTGTATTTGCATCTTGAACTTCTTTGATGATTTTATTGATCAAAAATCATTCCTAGCTCGATGTTTATTACTTAGGCCACTCCAAATTGATTCTTTGTTTGACATAACATTAAATAGTTCATAAGAGTGGGGTGGGTAAAAAAATACACAAATTAAAAAAATATAGCAATTCTATTGGCTGCAAAAAATATAAAAAATATAAAAAAGCCAATACTGCAATTTGATTGGCTAACTGATGTGTATTTTTATAAAATTTTGAAAAATAGAGGGGGGTGGGGATTATGTTAAACAAAGAATTAAATTGACCTGGCCTTAGGGTCAGAGACACGGAAATTATGTGATTTAGTGTGATTTAAACTAAATTGCATAATTTTACATCATTTATATTATATCAATATTACATGTATTCATTAACAGCTTGGTTCAGCTGTATATTTAAATATTAAAAAAACAGATTAATAGTATGTTAAAAATGTGAAATAAATTATTTTTATTAGTATGTTAAAATATGAGTAAATTAAATAGCGTATGTTAAAGTGTAAAAAAATGATAAAAAAATTTATTATTTTTTTGTATGGATCTAGATAAAGATGATTTCTATAAAGAGAATAACAAGGATCTTTATTTCAATATAAACCAATGACGAATAAATCAGTTTTTGTTTAGTTGAACGCAGTATTTAAAACAGTATTTTTTAAATGATAATAATCATAAACAGAGCAGTTTAGTGCAGTATTTAAAAAATTGAAGTTTTTTAGTTGAACGCAGTATTTAAATATTGCAAGTTTTTTTAACCGTACAAAATTGCAAAGTTTTAAAAAATTTCGTGTTTTTTTTTTAGTCGTGTGCAAGTCTTTAAACAATTTCATGTTTTTTTTTTTAGTCGTGCGCAGTATTCAAAAAATTGCCAAGTTTTTTTTGAGATAAAATTTTTTTTATACTCAGCTTATATCATTTAAATCGCACTTTCATTTTTTAATCATCAGTAAATCGAATATTTTATATATACCGCACGCATATTCTTATCGCACAAACTCCGTGTTCCTGCTTAAGGTGTTCTCAAGCATCAACCTAGATGCGATCGAAATAGTGCACAGATCGTAATTTTAGCTACTGCTATAACATTTTGTATAAAAGTCAATAATACGAATGACGATATTATTGAGATATGCTCAAACATTACTGTGATTTTCTAATAATTGTAGTGATGCTCAATTGCAACGATAGATCAAAATAATGATCTCAATCACTGATTGAGAGGATTCTAAATAGTCTATCGAAAATTTACAAAAATGTGTGAAAATCCATAATAAAAGTATGAAGACACTTGGTAATGCTTTATTCACTTTAATATTTATAAAAAAAAAGGTGGTACTGGGCAAAAAGTTTTTTAACTAAATGGTAAACACACTTCATTTTTTATTTATTTAAAATTTTTTCTTTCACGTAATAAACTACCTTACTTATCGTAATGGCAAGCTCGATTGATCGATTAAAAATACTTTTCCGTTAATTAAAATTTAATTCTCGACACATTCTCGACATACTTTGACCCATTAATTGAGGCGCTTGAGAACGCCCTTAGTCGACTAAGCCGACTAAGACAATTTTTACATCAACTTAGTCGGTCGATATTTTAGGCCTTGATCTTAATAAAATCACAAATAACAGATTTTGTTAGTTATTAATAAAGATAATGGAAGCATTACTTTTTAAGTCTAAAGACTTGGCACGATTATTATAAGTATAAACTCGAAATTCATTCAAAAAACAAGCTATACTATTCAAGACATTAATAAAAAAATTTTCAATATAATGACTATTAAATGTGTCATGTGCATTAATTTATTTTTATTGTCACATAGCCATACTGAAAATTTCATAATAGTGTATAAAAAATTCGATGCGAATCAAGCTTTTCTATAATTAAGCGAATCATTTTAGTCGATAACCTTAATATTCATGAGTTTCGGATTTCTTCGGAGCTTTATCTTTCTGACCTTGCATTTTACGTTCATCGATTTTCTATCCAGAATATTTCGGACCTGTGCTTGTTCTCATAACAATTCGAATCCAAATACTGTAGCGGGAACTTTTTATATTCTATATATATGCAAATCTATTCCCGGTCGGTGACCTTTTTTTCTGCGAATTATATAAAGTCGAGGACTTCATAAGACCTTATAATCATTCGGTCACATTTTCTAAATTTATAGCAATATTCGAGTATTATCGTAGCGGGGACCTATAATAGAGTTTTCTCGGTCCTGGTGTATACCAATTAAATAGTATATAGTATAAAAAACCAAAATACTATTTTATTAGATCACATACAAATATTGCTTTTATAGGTAAAACGTTGAGAACCTGAAATTTGTTATTGACTCCAGGTAGCTGGCATTAAGAAATAGTTCGGTGCGATGCAGTGATACTTGAAAATAGCAATCTAATCATTCGTTTACATATTAAAATATCCATTGAAATATTTAACGCGTAAACGATTAATCAGATAATTTACATGTATTAATGTATATGATGCAATAACAATTATAATTATTATTATTATATAATTTCAATCTATCGATGTTTTAACATTTGCCTATTTATGAAAAGAGAATTAAATCATGTGTTGTAATTAATTAATGGGTGAAAATATAATTACAACATAAACTAAAATAATTGGCCAATACAGGCAACAAATAAACGGTAAAAAATAATTTCCAAGTAGTTCATATTCTGTTATGGTCCACCTAAGAAATTCTTCTATATTGGTTTTTGAAATAATTAATATTCCTGGTGGTGAAATAAGAACTAATACTATTAATTCTAAATATCTTATTATTTCATGAGTACTTGGTTGAAATAATGAAAATGGTATTACAACTATTATTGATATAAATACTGCCAAACTAAAATTTAATACTGATAAACACGATATTATCATTGCCGTAAAAGCTAATGTAAATGATTTAAGAATTATCCAATCTGGTGATGGTGACAATTGATTATGGTGCTTGGATTTTATTTTATGAGCTCGATTCTGGAAGGCTTTTATTAAACCTACTGTAGCTATTGTTGATATGTTTATGGTCATTGCCAAGGTAAATAAATATCCCTAAATCAAATAAAAGCGTATGTTTTGAATTATTCTATAGCAAAATTATATAATAAGGTTATGTGATGACAATAAATAAATTTTAACTTACATCGATTCCAAAAATGCTCGATATCTGAGAAAGTTTAAAGTGATTTTTTGTGGTAAAGAAAATGACGATTCCGGTGAAATGAGATGCAACCAATGTGGTTACTGGCATTAAAATTTCTCTCGGACGCCTCAGATATGCTAGGGGTGCGGATACACTATCGGAACTAGACGATTGAGCATTATCACTACTTGATATTAAATTTGTTGCATCATCACTAGTGGTTCCCCACAATTCTAAGGCGTAAACAAAAAAGAATAAAAGAAAAAGAAAAAGCTAAGGAAGTCTTATTAAACACATACATTAATATTCATAGAATAAATTAGATAAAAATGACAAATACAAAGGATATATGGAAAATCAATCCAACTGCCAATAATATGGCAGGCGGTAAATATGACCCAATGGAAATATATCGCTCCGGTGATGGTAAAAGATAAAAGAAGAAAGATTGATGTAGATGTTCCAACAGATTATTTAGACTCCTAAATGTTGACTCTACCATGCTGATGTCAGTTTTACAGAATTAATAATGGTTACCGCAATAACAAATGAGCGCCGCCAAGGGAAACCTGTCATCGGGCTTTCAATTATATTTTGTACCGAACACAGCCTATTTAATTTATTAGGAAATACGTCCGGTACAAAATATAATTAAAAGTCCGATGACAGGCTTTCCCTTGGCGGCACTCAAGTATAGATTTTGAACCAAAATAAATAGTAAAATGACTATAAACGTACGATCCAATTTCCAAGAAACTATAAGAATTTCCATTTGCTGCATCAACTTGACCATACAAAGTAATTGCATCAATCTTATATCTACACGTGTAATTAAACTCATGAATAGTCAAGGTCATTCGAATAAATAGTACTTAATAGCAATCATTTACCTAAAAAACAAGCCATGACTCCCAGTTGGATGTCCTAGAGCCTGATATTTCATAGATTTTATTAAATTATAGAAAGAAGATCGGTAATCACCAGAGTCATAATGTGTATAATAGTGTCCAGAATCATGAATCATTATGGGAATGTTATTTGACACACAACACACTCGTATGGCTGTATTGATCAAATCTAAATTAGGAAGTTGTCCATTGAGGCCTTCTATTACATTAGAAGATTTTTAGGCATCAATTTTGATGTTTTGCAGAGTTTAATCTAAAAATTTATATTAAGTTTATACCAAAAAACAATCCCAGTGCTTTATAACTACTAGTTCCTGGAAAATCCAAATTTATGGCAGCTTGTATTGCACCTGACCGTAAAAATAAAGGAGATGCCTCGATACCTGATCAAGTACACGGACAATATTAGAGGTAGCTAATACTCAAATTGTACTTCATAGAACATTTGAATAAAACCACTACCTGATTGTCTATGATCATGATACGACTCTAACCAAGCCTGTACACCAGCCGCACCCCCATCTGTTATCAAAATGATGATATCCTTTGACCAATAAGTATAATCTGAAGTTTAAATAATTGTTACAAATGGTTTAATTCAATAATATTATTTCCTAGAATTTATTAAATTTATATCCAAGAACCTGTACTCTTAAAGAATTTGCCTATTGATAAAGCAGCGGCTATTCCATTAACATTGGCTAATATTATAGAGAAAAGACATATTAAGCCAATGATTATTAACTTTGATATCAATAATTCTATAATCTTACTAGTTACGCCATCTTTAGATTTCCATGGTGCGCTAAGAACTAACGCTTCAGTGCCATCAGTACGAGGAGAGTTCAATACTCCAAATACATTAATTCCGGATATAACCTGAAAGAATTAACTATCTCTAGATAACTTCATAACCAAGATGAAAGGCATTACTCCATAAAAAATATAGATCGCTTGACAAACCTTTCCTGAGGATATTACAGAAAAATTTTGTGTAGCTGTTTTTAATCCAGCCTTTCTTAACTCTTCTTCTATGTAATTGACTTTTCTATAATATTAATAATTAAGTATAAATATCTTCGACATCTTCGATAAAAAAGTAAAATAATTAAGTTAGACAGTGAAAAGCACTACTCTATATTTGATAAATTTGCCATTGATTCGATGCGATCTTTATAAATCGTGGCATCATTTACTTGTGACCAACTATAATATGTATTAACCTATATTATTAATATTTTAAAATTTGTATGAAAATAAAAAAAAATGCAGATTAAATTAATAAATTTGCATCACATTGAGAAATATAAAGTTACAAACCTGACCAGGAAGAAGGGCATTTTCCGATATATAAGTGTGTTTGCTATATGTTTCCGAGGGAAAAATAAAAAGCCACCCTACTCCAACTACGAACAATAGATAACTGTCGTAAAAAAAAAATAAATAAAAAATTCTGAAAATGAAATAAATTGGATAAATATAAATAAATAATATATGTGAGTAAGTACCGAAGTTTTGGAATCCATTTTTTTAGAGAACGGACTAATAATCTACGTTTTTTAAGTCGTGCTAACGCAGTAAGTGACATGACCTCTCGTATTTATGATTATTCGTTCGTAATAATTTTATAAAATTTTGATTTAGAGTAACAAGACTGCATAGTTTGTGAAACTTTATTTTTATTACGCAATAAAATCCCGGCGAATTTTCCCATTATAGAGCTGTTACCCGGATTAAAAATTTTCGACCCGGGTTATGACCCGGGTCAATAGTCACATAGGTCAAGCTTAGTATATCGCCTGAGATATAATATTTAAATTGGAAAATTGAGTTCTTTCTAATTCATTAAAATTTATTCATTACTTGGTCAAGGCAATTTTTGACCCGTCAAGATGCAGACCCGTACGTACGGATCAACTTGACCCGGGTAACAGCTCTATCCCACTGGACGATAGATAGACCGGTGATCATACGTATTAGTATTAATATTAATGCACTTATAAAATCTGGGCGAAGCACATGAGTTATTTTTAAATTTTGGAACTTTTGGTGAACTATATAAGCTAGATTATTTTTTGAAGATATTTTTAATAATTAATATAAAAGTCACTCTCGTTATAATGAAGTGATCGGGCTGTGAAATTTTCTTTACTATATCGAGAGTCTATTAGTAAATTTTGAGTAAATTCACTATATCGAAAGGTTTTTATATAAACTGTTCTTCAATATACTTATATTATAACGAAAGTAACTTGTATAGAGCCACACAAACTTAATAAATTGGTCTTATAACCTGGCCGCAGTGTTGGCACATTTATCCATTGGGACGAATGGAGAACAACTCCATTGACATTGCTCCATTGAGAATAATTTCTGAATGGAATCAATGGAAGCTAACCAATTTTCTCAATGGAGATATCCATTGCCAACCTTGCCTGGCCGGGTCAAATTTTGTGGTTTTTTAAATAACTATAAAATAATATAATATGTTTTTATACATAAAATTTTTTTGAAAATAAAATTAAAAGTCGGGTTTTTAAAATTTTACGATATGAACCAAATTAATTATCTATTTTGGTAAGTTAAATTGGTTTTATCAAATTATATACTGTGATATGAATAAAAGAAAACCCGACAATTTAAATATAGTCTATATTTAAATTGTCGAGGTTTCTTTTGGCGACATTCATATATAACATTTATTAGGTATAAATATATATGATCTGGGGATAGGCCTTTCGAATAAAAAATATATATTATATAATAAATATTAGATGTCTAGAAATAAAAGTCTTGAAATTTCTCAGTTTTTTAGTATTACAGTATTCTAGTAATATACTAAAACTAAGAATTATTTGACAAATTACTAAAATTTTGATACAGCATTACTTCTTTAAACTAGCTATAGTGCAGAATAGTATAGCTAATTCAGCAATTGTAGCTTAATGTATACATGCCGTAAAAGTATTTCGGCATAATTTCTACCTGAATTTTGGCTAAAATTTATGCCGCAACTAATGGTCAATACCTAAAGTCAAAAATAATGTCATAAGTGCCGAAGGTAATAAAGTATGATTGATATATCCTGATTGATGTAGTGATTTTAAGTGATGTAAAATAAAAAATAAAAAAGTATATTTTATTTAGGATTATATAATTTATCGCAGTGGCGATATATCGCTAGTCCCTCAATATCATATGATTAGTATATCACGTGATTATGTTTTTAAAAAATTAAAACTTCGAATTTTATAATTTATCGCATAAGCGATGTATCGCCAACTTTAATATGGTCAATAAACATTGTTAAAATATTTAACTTCACCTTATACAAATATCGTGTTACATAAAACTTCAATCTTATTTGTCAATTAGAAGCTAGCGATACATCGCTTATGCGATAAACTATCAATCCCAACAAGGGGAGGGAAATTGCAAATGCAAACAAGCTATGATACAATACATTTTTCAGTACAAATAAAGAACAGTACATGCTTTGCTAGTTACTATACTGATAAAAATTTCTTTGAAAATATATACGAAGTATAATTCAAAGCATAATTCCTACTTCTCACTTATAACCTGTACATGCAAAATAATTAATCCAAAATAACCTTTGAGCATAATTTTCGGCAGATCAGTACAATATTCATACATCGTCAACTATTATCAAGTGAAATTATTTCTTCACGATGTTTGACAGATTTTTACCTCAAGTCAATTCCGTAGATATTATCCAAAGCATTATAAATTTATTCTGTAATTCGATTCACAAACCACAAAAGAATAACTTAAACGTATCTGTGACAATCATATCCCAAGTTTTAAATAATTAACACAATGAATATTATACTAATTTACCCGAAAAATATGCTCAAAGGTTATTTTGAACCAAACACATATATAGACTTGTAAGTAAAAGATAAATAAAAGTAATTATATCAATTTAAAAAAATGAGTATACCTTGCAATTTTTCTGGTAATGTCCTATATTTCCGCATTTCTTACATTGGCGCTGTTGTTTTACCTTAGGCTTAGAAACCTCTTGTGATGATTTAAATCGTTTTGTACCTGATGGTCGTCCCCTTCCTTGACGTCTCTTTGGATTTTTTAGTTGAGGTATCAATGGATTATTTCCTTCATCGCTACTATCACTTTGTAAACTTTCATCCGAATTTGATTGTTCACTAGTACTTTCGTCTATAAATTCTTGAAGTAAAGTAATAAGCTGTGCTGATTTTGAATTGGTTTGCAACGCTTTATCAAGAGCTTTTTTATATGCACTATGAACTTTTCCATAAACAACCTTCTGCTGAAGAACTGTTAGACTTTCTTCACGAAAGTCTTTACAGTTTTGATTAAAAGAACACAAATATGGAATTTTGCCTGAATTATATGTTATTATTTGATTTTTTTGCGCAATTTGATTTTCTTGCACAATTTGATTTTCATATACAATTTGATTTTCTTGTACAATTTGATTTTCTTGTACAATTTGACTTTCTTGCATAAATTTATCAGCTTGTAAAAATGGCTCTTCCGAACCATTTAGACCCTCATAATACCATCTTGTTGGAATTAGTCGAATATGAAAGTAGGCATTTTTGGTAACTAACATTACTTGAAAATAATGCCTACAAACAACTCCAGATCGAATTATAGAAAGACATGTACATATATGTCCTTGATTTTGTAACAGTAAAATATGATGCTTGATATTTGATGAGTTTCCAATATTTATAGCCCAAACTTCTTTAACATTATAAGAACCCACGAATTCGAATATTTGTTTTAGTGTGGCTTGTGGACTGTCAACTAATAAATCATTATCACATATAATTGAATTGCCCTATTATAAATTTAAAATTTTTGGTTAATTACATAATGCTATTAAAAAATTTTTTATGTATCTGATTCTTATATGCTATATAATAATAAAAAAACAACCAAATTAGTTATATTTCTTAATTTAATTTTGCTGCTACGTATGTATATTAACCAATTATATAGCATATATGTATTAATAGTATAATCAAAATAATTATAAATTTTGATTGCACTATTAATTTATATAGTAATTATTTTATCACATCTATTTTAGCGTTTTCTATATTTATAGAATTCGCTATATAATATAATGACTGGTTCATTTCATTTCTGTGCATTTTTAACATAGTAGGTGTGAGATATCTTTGAAGGCACTGATCTATCTTAGTAAATAGAAAATTCGAATTGCTTTGATTTTTTATAGTTGGAATTGATAATTTCCAAAATTTATATTCATTCTCTTTGTCTTGTATATTGAGAAGTCAATGAATTTCTGCCATAAGATCACATAATGAAATGTTTGAATTATGTAGCAACCGTTTTAAGCATTCATTAATGGATTCTACACGAGAAGGTGCTATAATACCACCTAAAATATTACAATAAAATTAATTTGTATATATATGCAGTATATTTCTTTTAAAAAAAAATTTACCTGTAAATTTAAATGCGGTAAAACAATGTGCCCAAAGTGTTTTTGATTTGTAAATAAATTCTAAATACTTTTGAGCATTAGGATAGTTGTCTAAAAGCTCTCTAAACTTTTGTTGAAATACGGTTTCAGCAAAACTATTGCGACAACAATAAAATTCACTAAAAAACTTCTGATACTCATCACCTAAAACCTTTCTAAGGTTTTTGTGTAGGTTTTGAGTCATATGATAAGCACAATAGATAGGGTAAGTTGAAGAAAATATTTTACGGATAGCTGAATCTACAGCAGGATCAGCATCCGTAAGTATTACACTTGGACTTATGCTAGTTGCTTTAATTATTTGATTAAACATCTATATATATGATTCTAAGCTTTCATTAGCCAAAAGACCTTGTGCAAATAATATGTTATTTCACTCATTATTAAATCCAACAAAAAGAGATAAGGCTATTCCATAATGATTTGTTTTATGTGTATTGTCATTAAGAATACAGTCAGAATATTTTATCCAATTTTCTATTTGTTCTGGGGTCATCCACATTAAATGTGCTAAAACATTATCATCATCCCAGTTCCATGCAATATACCATTGGGAGTCAAGCTCTTTTTGCTGATCAAGCCAATTTGAAACTTGAGATGTATCATTTGATAATGAATTTTGTGTTGGACGAAATTTACTAATAGCTGTATATAAGTCTTTTGAGTAAATAGGATACAATGGATATTTATTTTCAAGAAATCGTCTCTGGCTTGTAGCACCAAATTTACAAGAAACAGACATAAATTTAATATCATCTATCATCTCCTTAGTAAATTTCTTTAACTCCTCAAATTTGATTATTTCACTGTTTAAAAGATGGTTATGCTTTTTTGTACTATTTTAGTAATAAACACTAACTTTTCGGGATTTTTAGTTTTAGGATATGATGCATTAACCAAAAATGAACATTTCATTTTTTTCAAAGTTGTATCTTTACTTGAATTAGATTCATAGCTTCTACTATGATCATATATAAATGCTCGTCGTTGTATAATATTTTCTTTACGAGTTACTTGATCTTTGATTAATTGAAAACCTTTCTTCTTAGCCCATTCACATAAAAAAGTTTCACATAACTCCCAACTTTGAAAAGTTTTTTCTTCATATAAAATTACTGTTTCAGATTCGGCAGTAGATTTACTTAATTCTGAATTATCCATTGTTTAATACAAATAAACTATCAAAAAAGTAGTCAAAAAAGTTATCGTATAGCAATTTTTAGCAGTTTTATATAGTTAGACTAATATGACGAAATTTTTTTTAGTACAATTTAATTATTATGATGCAATTTTTTTTATTACAATTTAATTATTATGACGCAAAAGTTTTATAATCATGACATATTTATAGTAATACGATCAATTTATTATAGATAATTTGTATACGATTAAAATTCAGATTAAATATAAATATAAAATTTTTATTAACTTAGGTTTTTAAAGGTATAGTGATATATCGCTATAGAGATAAATTATAATATTCTATAGAATATGTTTTAAATAAAATATTGTATATATAAATTATACCCCATATTATTAATAATTTTTAATTTTATTTAAAAAATTGTAAATACTTTTTAAAATTCCAGGCAAATTTGTCTAGAATATAGTTTAAGAGATAAACTAAGAAATAAAGTTATAGTGAGGTGTAGCGACTTAGTGTAGTAGTCTAGTCATTACCCTCTCCAAGTAGCAGGTCTAGAGTTCAAATCCTGCTGGTGATAATATTTGAAAAATAGGCCTGTGTTTCGGTTAACGGCTATGCCATCAGTTGGATCTAAAACTTAATTTGTAACTTCAGTCACACCAACTAGTAATGGGAGCTTTGGTACAATAAATCTGAGGAACTGGCATAACCGAAAACCCATTTGGCAAGTTCTGAATTTGAAGGTAGCAATAATCTTCGACGATATTACAGGAGGGCTGAATTTGAACTGGGGCCCGATATTGGAGAACCGAGCGATCAGGTCCTTAAGTAGGGGAACACACTAGCTGAACCGCCTGGCTGACGCACTAGAGAAAAAGGATATATACTTTGAAAGTATGGACCAAGGGGAGGGCGTCCTTTAGGCACCTAAAGCCTGGGCAGACCGACTGTCCGAGTTGCCGGCTGGAAATAAGGAAGGGACCAATAAAGAATCCAGATAAGGAAACGGTCCAAATGTGGGTATCGGGGTTGTTGTAAACCAAATAAGGGCAAGAAGTACGTAATAGGTGCCTAGTTAGGAAGGTTGATTCTTGAGAAATATCCGTAGAACGGTAGCACTCCAAAAGGTAGCGTGAGATATGAATACGGAAAAGCAAGGCAATATGTACTAATTAGAAAGAAGTTATAGGAACATGCAGGTGAATATATGTGTGGGACATATACCACTTTGTTAGGTTTACCTTGAGGATAGATTAGCTATATATGGTTAGTTAGTCTTAAGACAGGAATTGATAAATCCAAATTGTAGTTAGTAAGTCCTAAGGTAGGATACAAAATCCACATAGGGTAGATACTAAAATCCACTTCTGTATAGTGAGGAATACCTTGGGTTAGAGAGGTAACTAGAGGTTGAAACTATTCATTGTAATCGAATTTATAACCAGTTTTAACTGGTTATAACTTATAACCAGGTTGAGAATTTTTTAAATCGATCAACCGGTTTTATTATAACTGAATTTATCTGATTAATCGGTTTTATTATAACTGAATTTATCTGATTAATCGATTTTATTTACAGCTATTTTCATAATTCCTGAAACACCTGATAAAAATTGGCCGATTAACTTTGATTAAGTTTGTGATTTCGGCATAATAAATTTAATAAAATTCATATATATGTGTGTAATTAAGATCAGATACTAATATACATTACGGCGGATTTGTCAAATTTGACTAATTTTTTTTGAATGCCAAATTTAAGTTTTAAGGACATAATTTATTATTTATTTTTTAAGTAAAAAATTATTAGCTCTTCGATTTAACAATACGTTTAATCCATTTTCCCTATTAGTGCAAACTATATATGAATGTACAATTTAATAGTTTTCAATGATCATCAGAAACTTTGACAGTATTTTATGGACAGAAAATTTAAAAATTATATCATCGTTATATCAGAATAATAACATTACATATATGTGAAATCAATTAAATGACTCACAATAGGTGGTCAAAATTTCAAAATTTAGGTATTTACAAATTTGCCGTAATGAAATATTATCTCTGGCAGATTACAGAAATATGATATTTTCAAAGCATCTTCGCTAGAAAATATTTTTTATAAAAATTTAGAGGCATATTATTTCGAAAAATTACCAAACACTTAGGTTTAGCATATCTTTTATAAGTTGGGTTCTAATCACTTTTAAAAATATAAATGTATTGAAAAGTTTCTGTCACTTACAGAACCACAATCCGAGATAGAACTCTTGTTAGACGTTATAACAATTTGAAGGGCTACGAACCAACTTGCAACTTGTATATACAAATAAAAATAATATTTATTTATGTACTTCATGCAATATGTTTATTATAAAAGTCTAATTAATATATAGTGCATTTTTTATATTTATTGTTAAGACTTAATTGACTCATTAAACCTAAGTTTAATAATATTGACATTATTATTACAATGGTCTGTAGAATAGTTATTATAAATCAAAAATAGTTTTTATTATATGGATCATGCCAAAATTACAAACTTAATTGAATCGGCCGAAAAATCATTTGGCCAATTTTTATCAGGTGTTCCAGGAATTATGAAATAGCTGTAACCGAATCTTATCCAATTACAGCTGTTTTTATAAATTCTGAGACACTTAAAAATTTTCTCATTTCCTGGAATCTTTTCAGTTTTGTCCAGTAAATTATCTAGCTCTTTGGAAACTACATCATTATTTTTGAATCTTCAGTTTGGAGACAGCGATGTAGTTTCCGGAGAGTTAGGTAATTTATCAAACGAAACCGAAAAGATTCTGAGAAACAAGAAAATTTTTAGGTGTCCCAGAATTTATGAAAATAGCTGTAAATATAACCAGTTACTGAATTGCATCTAGGTTTTGCTTCTGAAACTCCTGGCTGCTATATCGAATTGGCGAAGAAATGTATGAATTTAGCTCCACAAGAACGGCCTAATGCATTGAATATTTATAATGAAGAAAAAAATTAATTATTGACATTAGTTTTATATGACTGGTAATCACTTACAGTTAATTGATTAAATAAATATAACCAGTTAATCGAATTTAATCGATTAAATATAACCAATTAATTAGATTTAATCGATTAAATATAGCCGATTAACTAGATTTAATCGATTAAATATAACTGATTACATCAAAAAATTTTTTATATAGATACATATCAATATATAGCAATAAATCGATGCATATTGATTAGAAAATAATGGCATATATTGATAATTTAGGCTAAATAACGATATATAACTAAAAAACGATATATACCGGTAAATGATAAATATCATTAAATAACTAATTATCGATATATATTGATTATGTTAATATCAATATAAATCATTTATTAGTTTATATCGCAATGTAGCAAACCTATTATTATCGATATATAGTGATATTTGTTAATTATCGATATATAACCTATTAAAAATATTTGATATATATCGACAATTAACAAAATATCACTATATATCGATAGTAATAGGTCTGCTACATTGCGATATAAATCTAATAATGATTTATATCGATATTAATATAATCGATATATAGTTATTTAACAATATTTATTATTTACCGGTATATATTGATATGTTTGCTTTTAACGATATTTAGTCTTTTCCGATATGTAGCGAAAAGATTTCCATGTTACTATGCAATTGCATCTATTTATGATCTTTTGATCTTATTTTTTTTATATTTTTTTTCAGTTCGATTTTTTTTATATAACTTATTTTGAACTTTTTTTTTTATAATTTTTTTTTATTCGTTTATAATTTTTTTTTTATTCGTTTATTTATTTTTTATATTTTTTATATTTATTTATTTTTTTTGCTTATTTATTCTTTTTTTGTATTTATTTACGTATTTATTTATTTATTTTTTTATTTATTTATTTTTTTTCTTTTAGAACTTAGAAAACCCCAAAAACCTACGACCCAACAAATAACAGAAAAAAACTGAAGAACAGAAAAGGCCATTCGGGAACAAGAAGATTTGCAAACAAGGAACAACTGGGAAGCAACTTTCTGATGAAAATTAGACCAACAAAGAAGAATTAAAAATATACGGGTATATTGTTGGGCATAAAGGTTGACCCCAAGCAGATTAGTAAAGTGGAGATTTCCCATTTACCTTACGGAAGTATGTTCTTCTTGAGAATAGTTGTCGAAAAAGTAGATTGTACGAATCTACATAAAGATAAGTATTTTTTTTTAATACATATTTTCTTTTTTTTTGTTATTGTTACAACTAATACTAATATATTTTTTGGTATTTTCTTGCAGTGATTTGGTGGTGTTTTTTGAGATTTTAACTTGTGGTGAAGCAATGCCGTTCTTGCAATAAAACAACGGCATTCTTGCGGTGAAGTAACAGTGTTCTACTTTTGCTGTTTCGTTGATATCGTTTAAGGGTTTTAGGTTCTTGATATTCTTGTTGATAAATTAGTCCTAAAGTCTTATACTTTGAGTAGTTGTTTTTTTTACTAGGTAAGTCGCTTTGGTGTTGTTGTCATCGTTGTCTTTAGAGTCGCTTTGGTGTCATTGTTGTCGTTGTCTTTGGAGCCTTCATCAGCAAAAAAAATAGACCGATATATATCGATTACTAGCCGGGTAATTATATATCGATACCAATCACCTCTGCCGATTACACACGATCGTGATAGTAATCGATATATAGCGAATTCGTTTACTAGCGGTAATACTAAATATCGCATATATCTGATTCGATTAATAGCGATATTTGATAACATTCGATTATAATCATGCTACTGATTTCTAATGATTACGATAAATAGCGAAATTTATTGTAGTTATCACGATAGTATTAGATTAATTACAAATTTACTAC